CTCTCTCTCTCTCTCTCTCTCTCTCTCTCTCTCTCTCTCTCTCTCTCTCTGTCTCTATCTCTCTGTCTCTATCTCACCCGTATATGGGATGCCTAGCAACGGCATCAGTGGAAACCTCCAACATGCTGAACTCTTTCTTTCCTCCACTCTTCTACTCCCTCGATCTTTAACGATGGCGACGACGGGGGGGCTCTGCCCTTTGACAAAAACTTGATCGCAACGGATTGTCGCGATTCACCCAAGCGAAGTGACAAGAAAGGTCACATGCAAGTCGTCTCGGTGTCGATGAGTCGTTAACGAAATATTTTCTGCCTGAATTGAGATTCCATAATCGCATTCTCTCACGCAGAGATCCTCTCGTGTTTCGTCGCGTGGTTATATGTACAGAAAAGTTATATGTATAGAAAAACGTAAGGCAGTAAGATGCGTGTAAGCCGTAAGCGAATCGATCGCAATCAGTATAAAGGCAATAACGTATTCTCTAAATTCTTTGAGTGGAATTTTATTCTAAAGAGTGAAAATTGAACCTGTCTTGATAAAGAGAGTGCCTCAATGTTCATTCTTTAAGTGATGGGCTTTCTATGACAAGCTATTATCCTAAGCTTTCAATCTTAAGATTTCAGTTTTAAGTGTCAATCACAATCGATGTGGGGAGAATAATCGAATATGATTGATCAATTTCTTACGATTTCTTATGATTTAAGACTTAAAGCTTAGGACTTAAAGATGATGACTTATCGTAGAAAACCCATGAGAGATGATGACTCTTCAGAGCGATAATTCACTCTAAATTAAATTTTTAGAAAGTAAGTAGTAACGAAATGTTCATTTGCTTACTGCTTACGTTTTTTATGTGCCATAGCCTTAACGCTGTGGCGCGTGATCGCAATTTGCTTCCCCTCGTGACAAGAGTCGTCATCCGTTTACCTTTTTAGAATTTCGCGATGACGTATCTCTGTGCAAATCGCAAATTTGTACGTCCATACAAATTGCCGATCACATGAGCCAGCCGATACAGACGGCCGACTTATCAGCTGCGATAGTTTAACGAGCGCCACAAACATATGTCGCACGCATTGGCATTTTACGAAAGGCGGCTTGTAGACGAGCACGTGAGTGCTACATAAATTGATAATAAAAAAAAGAGAGTGTACCGTTAAATGCGGGACAGTCCCTATATGTTTTTAAGAAGCGACCAGTTTAAACTGGTTATAGTTACATTTAACCACGCAAATGTCAATAACGTGTCGCGAAATGTCATGTAAATAGTGAAAAATTCTCCGGCGGAAAAATCTGCATTAAAATATGTGAAACACGCATGCGATCTTTTATTGAGCAAACTCGCGATGTATTTGCGATGAATAGATTTGATGCTTGCAGAAGAAACTCATATTAAAAAAAGAAAAAGAGAAAATATTGTGAGATGCTCCTCTTTCTTCACCTCCCAAGTGAAAATTCTCATAATTTTTCTACAAATTGAAACATTTTTTAGAATTACAGAAAAAATCTACATGTTTTCTTAGAATTTCTCATATCTTGTGAATTCTACTTGTATATTCTTTTAGATTTTTCATTCTACAATTTCTGAAAAAATATTTTAACCTTTCTCAGATTTCATCAGAGATTATAGAGAAAGAGAAATGTTAGAAATCTTAAAATATTTCAGAACACATATATAAAAATTTCTAAGAGAAAGATGAAACTATTATATACAGACATTTTTAAAAAGTGTTCTAATTTAGTATTTAAAATGAGAAATTTCCTAAATAGTTTATTCTAAAAAAATTATAAAAAATTTCACCATGGCTACGACTTCCATTTGATTTCCGCGTTATTTAACCGGTAAATAGCAATTTGATACGACTGTGTTTGTATTACATGTATGCGCACGCCTTTGTAATATACTTCACAAATAGTCATACTCTGTCTATACAGGGCGTTATTTAAGTTTATAATCACATGTATCAATTATATCGGCAATTTGCCTGGACTCATTTACGCATTCGTGTCCAATATTTTCCAAGATTCTTAGAATTTCGAGCGCGTCTGTAATCAAGTCGGCACTTTTGATCGCGAAGTCGATGAAGGATGACAAAGGAAACCTTTGCATAGGAAGCAATCGCCTTAAGACCAGAGCATGAATTTCTACATAATGCATAATGCATAGCACTTAAAAAAATCACTCAAAGTCTTTTATTTCAAGGAAAGAAAGAAAATGAAGGACTTTGATTGGTACAATTTTTTATGTATGTATAATATTATGCATTATGTAAGACTCTGTGCTTCCACCCTCAGAAAAAATATAGTGAAACAATTTATAGGAACGTAGGTCGTACTAATGATTTGTTTGATAGAGGGAACATTTGATTTTTGACAAGGAGTACGGCTCAGAGTGGCTTATTTTTTAAAAATAACTTGACGCGAGGAATCTCGCATGAACTTATTTTTATAGGAAAGGATTTGTTTATCTGAGGAAATGATATATCGCGGCATGATTATTCCATCACGCTTTCTTTCTTCTAGAAATCATGCCCGTACATATTGCCTGCTCTTTGATAATTAATATCGATGATTAATAACGCTTTCAAATTCACAAACGCGGGCGAGCCCGCGTGTGTGAAATATGTTTATATATTTACATATGTTTGCTAAAAGCGATTTGCGGGTTCGCCTCTATGACAGATAAAAACATCGGAATTTCTTCCTGTCGAACATCCGCGCGAAGTCGCGTTTGAGAAGTTCGTGAATTTGCCAATTCCGCGATTGCGATCGCAGAGAAAAAAAAGTAAAAGGTCACTCTCACGTGATGACCGAAATGAAGCGGATTCGTCGTGGTCGTAATGGTATATCCTGGGGATGAAGAATTAATTGGATCGATAGCGTGACACGGCGCTTATTTCGAGCGTAAATTCAAATGTAATCGCTCACTATGCGAGCGGGACCGTTTAATAAGACAGATTACGCGCCGGGCACCGGCCATGTCAAATTTACTTCTCATTGTGTTCTATCGTTTGCTCCGCTTATCCGTTTATGGCGTTTATTCACGCCGGACCTCGCTACTTGCTCGCTACAGAATGAGCGTTGCTGTTTGTTCGAATGCTTGCTAAAAAATGGAAGCCAAATCTTCTCTAGCAGGAACAAGAAGAATCTCAGAGTATCACTCAAATAATTGTATCTTTAAGGAATATCATAAATTCTATTTCCGATTCTTGTAAACTTATTTTATCGATTTTTCTTAGTCTAATAAACAAACTATATAAATAGACTGAAGAAAATTATCATAATCATACAATATCAAAATACGATTATTTTCAGAATTTATAAAATTTGTAACGAAAAAAATGTCTAACAATTTAAACGTTTAAAAATACTTTAGCTGCTTGTAATATAAATTCGTTGCTGGAAATGCTGATAAGAGATCTTCTTAACGTAACTCTAATTGATTAAAATTGTTGCGACGTCAACGACGGCCTTTGAGAAAGCAAGAAATAATTTATAATTCATGTGAGTCGAAGAAATAATTTATAATTCATGTGAGTCTCGCGATGATCCGATTAAATATAGGCTACTAAATTAAATCTCCGAAGTAATCGTTTAGCTGAATTCGATAAACGTTCTTCAATATAATTAGCTTCTCCCGTTACGTTCCACGATATTTTTCGCCTCTGACCCGATTAAATGGACGGAAAGTACGCTAAACGGAGCATAAAGTGACGGCCATATAATTACATAACAGCTATAATAACATTATTTGCTAAAACGACGTAATTTTAAATCAATAAACTCTGATCTCGGCCTTTTTCGCGTCGATTATCTTTATGGATATCTTTCTCGGATATCCTTTTAATATGACTATGGCGAAATGGATATATCCCTCTCGTATGCATCGTTTTACGGTCCAGTTTCCCGTTGAGTTTTTTTGACAGCTGCTTGTTCAACCTATAGATTTGCTCCCGTTCCTTGCGACGCCTTTGTTCTTTGTCGTTCCCGCTCAACCTGCCATGAAGAGATTTTTGCTGCACGTATTCCATTACTTTCTTGCTTTTGGAATAAGGTATTTCGATGTCTACCATTTTGTACCGCTTCTTGGTCGGAATTTGGTTTCGATGATGCGGCGTCCTCGATCTAGAAACATCAACGTGTGACATCGCGCTGATCACCCGCATCTTCGCCAATCGTCTCAACTGACGACGGAGATTCGGGATCTCGCACATGTTGCGTATTCGCGGACGTTCAAGTTTTATATTTAACGGCGGCACTGTCATGCAGTCGCCATTCTCACAGGATGAGCTCTCCGAAGAACACAAGGTCTTGCACTCGCCGTTCTTCTCTTTGGTATCGCACTTGCAACTCTTGTCACATTCCTGAGAGCTCGTCTCTGGAGGATTATCCTCGTTGCAACCTTCCGTCACGAAGTCGCAGCTTGTTTCACAGGACCTCCCCGATGTTTCGACGTTGAATTCGCATTTTTCTAAGCAGATCTGCGCGCAGCCTGTGTTGTATTTCATACATATGTCATGTTAATCTTGGAAATTTATTTATGTACAGAAATTTATGTACAGCTATGTGTGTTTAAAATACACTAAAGTTTATTTATTTATAATGTATCTGTTAAAAGAATAAATATGTATAAGACAATGAGTTTTTTTTCAACCAAAACTGTATTATTAATACAATAGAAATTGTAATTTTCTCTTTTATATTGTAAGAAGAATTGTGTAAAATGTAATGTAATGTTATTTTACCTTTCATCGTCGGCGTTTCAATCAATTCAGTTGTTGAAACTGTAGAGTCCGTGATTAAGTCTTGATGATACGGTGGCTCAGTAGATTCAAGAGTGGAAATCTGCATCGTCGGCGTTGTTGTTGAAGATTGCGTCGTCGAGAGCAGAGTAGGCATCGTTTCGACATATTTGCTAGTTGTACTTTGTTCAGTAATGCATTCAGCTGCTTCACAAGCGGGGGCAGGTGTTGCAGTTGGTATTCTCAAAGTCTTTCTGAAGTCAACGCGTGGTGTGAAAATTTCTGTTATGATCTTCGAACGATTCAGTTTTGTTATCACATTGGTATCCACCATCGGTATCTCCATTATAGGTGATATCGTGGTTATCGTCGCGGTCGTCGTTGTGGGAATTGTTGTAGGCAATGTTGTACTGATCGTTGTGGGCACAGTTTTAGGCAATGTTGTACTGATTGTTGTGGGCAATGTTGTGATAGTCGTAGGCACTTCTGTGATAATTGTAGGTAATGTTGTGGTAGTTGTAGGCAAGGTTGTAGTTGTTGGCAACATTGTCATAGTTGTAGATGTTGTTGGCAACGTAGTCGTAAGTAATTCTGTAACAGGGAAAATCGTAGTCGTGGGTAACGTCGTAATTGTAGATAATGGTGTAGTTGTCGCAGCTGTCGTAGTGGTTATAGCCATAGTTGAGGTTGGCGCCATGGGTTCGGTCGTAGTCGAAATTTTCGTAGATTGATCTTTGGATTTTTTTGGAGCCTTTGTAGTATGGATAAATTCAACAGGCACTGTAGTCGTTTTGAATTTACGAAAGATTGTACTGCGTTGAATCGTAGTTTCGCCTGTTAGCAATGTTGTGCTAAAACGTTTCTTTGCTATTTTAAACGGGATTTCTATTGAGCATCTTAAATCCAGTATCTGAATGTCGCACTCGTCGCTCATCTCCAGAAAATTTTTGATTAGAGAATTTATCAATTTACAATGTAAAATCAGTTTTAGACCTATTCGCAGACAAGCTCGCGGAACATTACAGAGAATCTCAATGGGGACATCCTTTATATCCTGCAAATTCTCCTTGATTTCATCGATTTTCTTCATTATGTGGATATAGCGCGGCAATTGTCGCAAATTCTCATAGGCATCCAAGAACAATTCCAAGAGTTCGTCGAGGTTTTCGATCATGCGACTCTTGTGCCAGAATTTTGCGTGCATCCGCAGAGACATCGCGATATTTTTGGCAAAGTCGATGTCTATCAGCTGTCCGGTGATCTTCATCATCAGCTGAGCGGGAATAGCCTGCTGATACTTCTGCATTTTGAGATACTTTTCCACCACGTTAAATTTGTTTAATTTTATCACTAGATATTTCTTAGTCACGATGATGTCTTTCTCAATTAAATCATCAGGCAGCACGAGATCGAAGAGATATTCAACATGAATCGCCTGGTTCTCGTAAACGTTACCAAGCAAGATATTCTCGTCGATCATGCCAACGTCGTCGGTAATTCTTCTCGCAATCAAGAGCGCGTATTTTTTTAGATCGTTGTCCGAAAATTTTTTGGCGTATATACCAACGTAGTACTTAAGGAAAGAATTCATAGTATGGAACTTTCTCAGCTCCATCGTCGACACTGAAATTTCGACGGTGGTCTCCGAGATTTCACGAAAGTGTCGTATAAGTTCCCTCTCAGCGAGGCGAACATCGTCGTCGTAGTTATCGTATCTCACATTATATAAAAGTCCAGAGAGTAGATTGGGCGTGATTACCAACACTTCTCGCTGCAGGAGTCTCAGTAATGTCGCCAGAGAGAAACCTCTGGGATATTGCTGCAATATATTGGATGAATGATACACGTGGTATGTAATATTCAACGCGGCTGTGTTGTAATCATCGGGATGCGGAAGATCGTGCTGCTTTCTGATTCTGCGGCAGATGCTGACGCTACTCCTCAGATAGGGTTCCCTGGCGTGTCTGTAGATCTCGGCACAGATCCTGGACGGCCTCGTATCCGGATTCCTCAGAACACTGAGGATTAGGTTGACGTTGTATCGTCGTTTGAGGATCTTCCAATATATCTTGTACAACGCATTCACTTCCGTAACACTGAAGTCATCATAATAATCGTACAGGAGGCTGCCGAAAGTGTCGATTATTCGCGCTCGCAAGAGTGCACTGAAATACAGCAAGTACTCCGTGGTTTCTTGCAATGTGTAACTATCTTTTGGCGCCATGAAATTCTTCTGCTCGAGAAAGTCGCGGCTTGTCAAGATTATGTTGTCGTTCGAATTCACTGATATCTCGTCATGTCTGTGGAATTCATAGTCCGCCTAGAGAAATTAAGAAATAAAACTCCCTGAAACAGCTGAGAGAAATCAACTTCTCTCTTTAACATGTTTTTATTTGTAAATAGATAAACATTTAATTAATCTGTAATTTAATTAATCTATATTCTCTAAAATAGTATTTATTTTGCCTTATTTTTAAAACGTCATTATGACATCACGATATGAAAATGTCAATTCAATTTGCAAAAGAAAGTTTGACAAAACTAAAAATCCAAGTTGATAATACGGTGAATGTTCACTTCGATTGATTATGTAAAAACATCGATTAATAACTTTATCGGTTAATACTTTAAATTCCGTGGCATGATTTTTCATTTCTATTATTTTCTTTTTATTGCGAAGGTCGTAAAAAATTTAATAACCTTTATTGAACGTCGTTCTCATTGTTAACTTGTTCAATAATACGCCGACGATATTAGAATGTAATACTTATTCGTCAGAGTCTATTATCCCTAGCTTGGTTGAGTTGATGTTTCTAATTTGACGAACGATAACTCAATAAATCTTTCAAGAATGGGAAGAATACAATCTCTCTCGTCGGGTAATATATATGATTTTACTATGAAAAAGTCACAAACGCACGTTTATAACACTAAAAATAAATTTGCTTTAAATATTAAAATGCACATATTAATTAATATTCCAAAGCTCCTGAAAAGCTCCCTCGTTATTTGTTTCTAATCAGTTTAAAAAATTACGATCTTTTTTTATTTATAGAAATACTAAAAATATATGTATATTTTAACATAAATATTATAAATATTAAAATGTACTAAAATACACATTTTACTTAAATTTTAATTTATGTTTTTTAAATAAATTTCAATTTATTTTAATGTATGTTGAAATTAATTTAAAAATGAATGAGGTGATAAATAAATAAAAAGATTAAAAATAAATTCTAATTAAAATTAAAAAATAAATTAAAAGATTTTATTAAAATTTATATTATTGTCATCTCTTCTTCACCTCTCTTTTTTTCTCTCTTCCCAACTTTCTTTCACGACAAGATCGGGATAGTCCTGTCTCACCTGCGCGGATAACACAAGCAATAGGATCAAAGTAAACCCGATCTCCCGTATCGCAATCCGCGATGACATTGCCGGTGCCATAACTCACTCGCGAAACGACGCAGACTTCGCTCCGACAACAATGCAAACCGATCAAGCTATCGCGTAGCTTATATAAGGTGCGCGTGTATGTCTTTATGACGTGCACGTGGGTGAGGACGGTTTGTGCGATACTATGCTGTGTGGTCCAGGTGCACGCGACAAAATTGAAATTAATCATGAACATGACGATATGGAGACCGCCCTGGGAACTCGAGTTTCACTTCTCGCGATCTAATGCCTCGCATTTTACGTTCTTTTTATCTACAATAAGTATTTGATCGCTCGAAAATCGCTTTCTTAAACATTATATCCACAAATACAACTTACGACCTAATACCACTTATCGTTAAAAGTTCTCTTAAAAATTTGGATTGAAAGCTCTTATCTATAAGCTACTGTGTTCCACTTTTCAAGACCGGATCAATCTGTCTTAATCAATCTGTAGCTCAGCCTCTTGAAGATTAATATTTTAATTCAATTTAATTTATTGCAAGTAAAAAATGATTGCCAGCAAGATTTGCTGTTATGAGTCTGCCTAATAATACAATATGAATACAATAGAAAAATAATAATAACATAAAAGCATCAAAGTAATAGAGTAAATTAATGTTTTTTTAAATTAAATTAAAGTTAATGGCTTATAAAATTAATAAAATTAAGTTAAAAGTTGTAAGAACAAAGAATTAATAAAAGTTAAGTTAAGATTAAATTAATTTAAGTTTAAAAAAAAGTTAATTTTGAAAAAAATTATTTTTGAAATCAGAATATCCTAATTTTTCTTAAAAAGAGATTACTTTAAATAATCCTTACAAATATTATGAGGTAAATTAAATTTTATATTCACATATAAGTTATTTATACATACATAATAAGAGTTACACCATAAGATATTTTTGTCAAAATCTTGCGAGAGAGAAGGATATACAATACGTTTGCATTATTTCTCTTTCTTTAACCTTTAACTTTCTTTAACTTCTGAGATGACTGTTTATACAAGTCGATTACATCGATTATATATTTGTTACAAAAAATAAAACGTAAAAATTTAGAAAATGGATCGATATGCAGCACTATTCTACAACAATTCTTCATTTAAGGCTCATTTCATATTTATGTGACGTATAACATTTGCTGACATATAACATTTATGATACCTAAAATTAGTAATTCAAATATAAGCGGGAATTGACAAAACCTAGCGGTCAATAAAAACTGACTACCGTATGATGTGGCTCTTATTATAGAGTCTCTCATCAGAAAATCATTAAACTTTTTCTGAATTAATTCTCTAATGTTTAAGATTTTATAGAAAAAAATATTAACCTTAAGAGAGATAGAAAAATTTTTAATTTAAAAAAGTTAATAAATTAAAATTTAAAAGTAACTAAATTAAGTTAAAAATTAATACACTTACGTTAAAAGTTATTAACTTTTTAATTTCTTTTTTTAACGTTTTAACTAGTTACTACTCAACCCTGAAATTGACAAGAAAAAAAAAGAGAGTAAGAATTAAATACATTATCACGCGCTCGAACATATTTATAAAACATACGCGCGTAAGTACAGTGCAAACAAATACAATTACAAAATATAATAACAAATCAAATCAAGAACAGGCAAATATAAAATCATTTTGATTTTTTATTAATTTTTATGTATTCCTTGAGAAGTGTATGTATCGAATATACTACCGCGTAATAAGTCTCAGTGCGTATGATAATAATGTCAAAAAGTCAAAACCGATCCAGTAAAGAAATATTTTGGAATATTTCATGAAACAATATTGTAGCAACATTGCTGAAATGTTCTAAAATGTTTCTTGCTTATTGAGAAGAAAATTGGTATAGGAGAAAAATTATTATTTGATCGGAATCGAAGTCCAACTGTTTCCAAGGAGGGTGTCGCGACTTCGCGAAGCTTTATCCATAATTCTATCCGCCTTCGGTCGAGCTTGCGCAGTTTCTATGCCAATATGGATTCTTTGAGTGATGCATGCCTCGCGCCAAGGGCGCGACGATTTCCACGGAATTTCGCGTCCGAGAGTACTCGCGAACGATCGCTCGTCACGACGCCCGACGTTTTTCGGGTAGCGGCCCATCGTTACATTAGTTATATAGTTGAAACCTAGCGTCATGTCCGAGGACTATCAGCATGCCTGCGAGAGGGCAGAATTGCTAGGCTTGCCGAAGCCTAGCGAGGAGGAGTGGAGGCAGTCGCAGGCGGCGCAGAGCGAGAATCCTCGTTGCAACGTCGACGACGACGATGCTGCATTACAGGTAACTGCGCTGTTGCGTCTCGCTTGCGCTAAGAATTTCAAATCAGGCAGAATCTGTTTGAAAATATGCCTAAAATAACAGCCCGAATTTTATTTAATTGGACACGCCCATTGACGAACGAGCTATTTCTAATACGTTCATCAATCGTGAATCAAAGAGTATTATTTTTTTTTTCATCGTCGTAATATAAAAGAACGCAATCAAGAGGAGGGAGGAGAGAGAGAGAGAGCCGTGCGACATAATTTGCAGTTATCTATACTTGTAGCTTTTACAATTTTTTTATTCCCTTTTTTTTCATTCATCCGCTTTCTCTCTCTCTTTCATATGTTAATGAGCGGCTAATGCACTTATGGCGATATCGCAATCGCGATAGACATTACGCAGCAGAATCGGGTTGCGCGTCCACGTGCAACGAGTTACGAGTCAGATCGTCGCGTCGAGAATAAAATCGCTGACGTTGAGAAGTCGATCGCGGGGTTCATTAACGCCAACGGACGGACGGACGGACGGACGGACGTTCACGCGTGTCCGCGATACGAATTTTCTCACGACGATGCTCTCTTATCTCTAGGACTTGGATTACGTGGACGATGCGGCGGGACGCATCGGCGGCGGACTGGACGAGCTGAACAACATTCTGAGCACCACGCAGAAGAAGCTCAACAGATTCAAGGTGACTTGGGATAATTAATTGCCGAGCGAGCCTGCGCGCACTTATTTCGCATGTTGCTCGAATTAATTATTATTTTGTCATAACGATAGCGCGGAATTTTTACGACCGATACGACGGATCACTTTATGTCCTTACTCGCAAATTGATAACGCTTTCCTCCTGCACCGCCGGTTCTCCACCGCCGCCCCGTGTCTAAATGAATTGTTCGTCATGAGATTCGTAAACTTCACGCTGACGAATTACAAATAAATCCACATGTTATATGTCTTCAAATAGATATTGCATGTTTTCCATTTTTCATCGCAAATAAGAGAAAGAAAGAGAGAGAGAGAGAGAGAGAGAGAGAGAGAGAGAGAGAGAGAGAGAGAGGGAGGAGGGGGAAGAAGGGGGGGAGAGAAAGAAAAAGGCCTTTAATAAAGAATTCCGCAGACAGTTTGCGGCAGTCTGGGAACGTTGCTCAAAGTGAAGGTAAATTCTCGCGGCGGAACGCCGCGCCACAAGCCCGAGGAGCCAAACCCTGAGGCGGGAAAGCAGGAAAACCAAGAGAAACTAGAAGCCACGGTCGACGAGATGATAACGGTGGAGACATCAGATGTGACCATCACGGACACCGCGAACCAGCCCGCGAACAGCAGCGTCCAGAAGCAGATCGATCTCAACCAGAAAATGGGATCTCATTTGAATAAGCTCGACTCCTTGATCACGAAGGCCGAGAACGCTCAATATAGTATGCAGCATCAAACGAAACAAATGAAAAAGATACTAAAGAAGTAATTGCAATAAAAATAAAACGAATTAACCGGCTAATGAATTAACCAGCTAAATGATAAATTCGCTCGAGGTTGATCACCAATTAAATTAAATCTTCCATTTTGAGTGAAAATTCGTATAAGAGAATATTTTACAGACATGTCACGTAAATTAATCCCGATGCGTGTAAATTAATTTCTTGTGATTTTGATCGATAAAGTCCTACATTCCTGTAGATGCGTAATTATGTAAGATGTAAGAAAACACGATAAGCAATTTCACAAACAACCAACATGTATAAGTCGTATAGATTTTAATTGTTACATTGCACATATAAAGTTTAATTGTTGCATCGAATATCGATATCTTCCTCGCGATAAACTTATATATTTAAATCGCGAGAGAAATCTTGTGAATAATTGTTATCAATTTTTTTATATGTCGTACATTTTATATGTACGTTCTCTTTGTCGCTAAAAATCGAATGTTGTTACGATACGTGT